TGCAGCCCCTCATACCCTGATCCTGTTTAAGACATATCGCTGATTTTCCTACCCTGTTTAAAACAGAATTCAGATTTTTGATACCCTGTTTAAGACATTTAACGTGCCTGGTAAAAATCAATGGAATTCAATATTAATTAAAATTGGAGCTTGTAAAAATTTTGCTGTTTATCTTCCAAGAAAAGATATCCTGTTTAAGACAAAAAATTGATAAATCGATACCCAGATTAAGATAAAAAATGATAAATTTGATACCCTGTTTAAGACAAAAATATCGAAAACCTTACACTGGCTGGCCACACGTCCCCATTAAGCCCTTATAAGGGAGTACCCCCCCCCCTCCACCCAGCCTTTGTTTCCCTTCAAGCTGCCAGTGGTAGGATTGATAGCCCATATTTAGCACAACAAATGAGAATAAGTAATTTAATACCAAATTGTTTCTAGAACCAAGAATTAGAAAACAGAATAAGTAAATAAATGTACATGTTCTAACTTTTCCTTGTTGAAATTATTAGTGTGGCTATGCTATGCATATCATGGAGGAACAAATTTGACCTGCCCCCAAAAATAATAATTACTCCTGATAATCTTTTAGTTAATGGAAGTATTCTGTTTTTAAGAAAATAGTACCTGGTGCTTTGCTGTTCATATACAGTGAAATTAACTACCTGTTCTTTGTTTTAAATGATATTTCATAAACACGCAGAGTATAGGTATGAGCTGGTCTACATCTTCGGGGCAAATTGATTAACCACAGAATGGTAGCCCACCAGAAAGCTTGTCTTCTCAGCTGCAGAGGCCTTTTCAATGGCTTTTGTCAGGCCTGATTAAGTTAGGAATGCAGGCAATTTTTCATACTCCTACAGCAATATAGAGCTTTTAATATTCATGGGATTGAAAGCAATTTTGACAGTAAAAGGAAAGGTAAGACTTTATTCCAGCAGAACAACTTCTTTTATGTACAAATCTTACAAGGCGGATTATGAGTCAGAGAATAACTATATAGGTAACAAAGAAAATCAAAACAAATTTAACTCATGGAAAGTTCAATCGTTGCATGTTCTCGAGGTCTAGAAACCGTGAGGTGAGAACCAACGGAATGATCACGATCCAACAACACAGGCCCTTTGGCGACTTCTTGGAGACATGGCCAGCTGAAAAGTGTTTTCCATATTCTAGGAATGGCACCTGGGGCAATCCTTTTTCATGCCTAATCTAAGTCGATACTCCTTTTGGCTGGAGGTTTGTGCAATGTAGGG